GATATGAAATTACCACTTTCCTAATTTGGTCAAAGTAACGTTAGTTTGGCAAGAGAAAAAAAATGGACCTGGTTGGCCAGCACAGCACGGCACGGCACGGCACGGCACAGGGGGTTCAGACTAGCGTAGCTAGAGCTAACGTCGGCTAATCAGAGTGTCTAACTTTACCAACAGGTTTTCTACAATAAATAACCCTTGTCAGTTCGTAAAACCTGGCCAGAGCGTAAGACCAAGGCTTAATTTACCACCCCCAGTTGATTAATGCAGTGACACAAGAGTAATACCATCAGAAGAACAAGCAGAAACTCGCTCTGTCAACAGCTTAGCTAACTTTGTAGCTTTTAGCTGTGCGTGGCAGTTGAGCTCCCAGCTGAGACGAGCTGTGTCAGCCCGACAGTCCAACTGCTTTTAACTGAAATAAACGGCCGTTCCACTCACCGGACACTTTTGGTGGCTCTCTATCGCTCTCAGTGCTGTTTCAGTCAATTTGACGTGTAATACGGTGACTCTGTCGGCGCTCTGTTGGCCACAATTTAATCCGTACCTCCCATCCTCGGAGAGCGCCGCCATCTTTACCAGCCCTCCACCATCGTCCCTTTGAGGCTGGAGCATTTAGCAGCCCAGCTCCCTGTGCTCACTCTGGCCCGGGGAGGGACTACAACTGCTGCCCAAAGGGCTGACAGGAGTGGATTGGTCTCCACTTGCTAGCTTGTTACTTTTTCTCTTTTCCCAACCACAGTGAACTTGCAGTACAGTGTGCGTTAATTATTATTACTGAATTAGAACATTATTGTGCATAAGAAGTAAACCATGATTTGGTTTACCTACAGAACTGGGGTTAGCTGTCCATTTACAGAACCAAGACTGCACAGGCTCCTATTTGTCTGTATTTGGTCTTTTAAAGCCTAATTAGAGGAAACATTCTAGTAGCTGGTTTCCCTTTCTCTGTAAACCCATAGCTGTCTCTCTCTTTCTCTCACTCACACACACACACACACACACACACATAGTTATGCTACCTCTTGGCAAAACTGGCTCTGCCTGCTGTGTTTTGCTGACATGGTAGAACTAATTCTAGCCTACTGAAACTGTTAAAGGTAGCTTTTGTAGACTGCAGTGTAAACTCAGGTTTGCTCAGATACAGTTCAGCAGGTATTTAATAGTTATCAGCATAATGTGAATATATTTATTACAACCTTTTGCACATATTGTCTTTCTTAAAATAAGCTGCTTGAAGCACACTGTGAGGTGAATAAACTAATAAGTAGTGCTCAATAATAAAAATCAGACACAGTGCTTTTGGTCTTTATTTCAACCACTTTTGGAACTCTTCACATCCATTATGATTAAATTCAGTCAGCTAGGACCATTTTTTTTGGACAGCCACCTACTTTGTGAACTACTTTGCCTTTATATTGGCCTACAATCATCTTTCATGAGGTTACTTTAATGATATGGGGTATAATGTGACATCACCTCAATGGGCACAAGTGTGTTACCCCCCGTGAGCTGCACCTCCACTATCTCCTAGAGTCAGTCCCCTTGACCTGGTGATTAGAACTGCGTGTTTTGGTGTGGAGTAGCCTCGGGCTGGGTGGGGAAAGGCCTGTGTGAATCCAACAGATTACCATAGCTCCTCACCCCACCCATCCCCCTGACAAGTCGCACATGCAAACACACACACACACAATTGAGACTTCCTGCACACTAAACCCTTTGACAAATTCCTATTTCTCAAAATGAACTGCCCACACAGATATTCAGTCAATTTAAAGATTAACACGTGCAGAATGTCAAATGTGAAATAACATTCAATGCGAGCATTGCAATTGGAAGTACCCCCTCATCTACCCAACACAACCAAGACTGGGTTGACACTTTGCCTTGCATTACATTTCTTCTATTGTCTCTTGGTTTAAATGCAAATGTTTAATACTAAGCCTATTCAATTCCAGAGGAGCTCTAGTTTGTCTGAGTGCTTACTTGCTGCAGACAATTAAATAAAACCTCTGGTGTGGATAAGACTAATTGATTTTAGATCTTCTGTGTTTACATGTGTCACCTGATGGAAGCTCAAAAGCATGCTGTGAAGAAAACGTTTAAAGGACACACCCTTTGTTTAGGGATAAACGTTAAACACAGGAGCACGGATTACTTAACTGTATTACCAGTTTGCTATGAAGACTGACCACTGACAAAATGTGGCAAGATCTATTGTTTAGTTCAGCACAGTTCTGTGTAATACTAGAGATTTTCTTCTACCTTAACAGTGATAAAGATGTCCCTTTTCTGTTGCTAGATCAAAGGGTTTACATTTAAAGTTGCTGGTGGTGGGGGGTTCAGACGTGGTTGCTCCTTCTCATGTGATCCTTTACTATCCTGCTAATGAAGTAAGCTCCAACAAGGAGGCTAGTGCCTTTACCCACACCCACTAAAATCTTTTCAGAGCCCAGCCTTTAATCATCAGTTTAACTATTCAAAGGTTATTTATGCATTAAAGTGAATCATGAACACCATGCAGAAACATGCAGCTATTGCTAACGATTTGAGCTAATTATTGCATTAGTTTTTCTATCTACATTGCCAGTTGAATAATCAGATGGAAGCTTTGAAATATCTTATGCAAGGTGTGGGCAACTTTTGTTGCAGAGACACAGACTGAACACAGGTCATTCAGTGGCAGCTGGGTTGAAAAGTCAGATGCTACTGATGTGACAATGTGTAACCTATCTTGTTGGGATAGTAGTTAAACAAATCAAATTATCTCTGCATTTAGATATAGGGTAAATGTAAGAACCAATAATGGATATTCGACTAGAGAACTGACTTGGTTTAACATAAAAGTTCACCTTAATATGTAAAATAGCTACAATAACATAGCTTAATTATAGTGTATAGTAAATACAAATAAAGTAAAGGGGAATTAAATGAACAACACCTACTCGCCACTGAGTAATTGCCCCATCATTAAAAACTCTCCAGCAGTTTGGCTTACCTGTAGGTGACCTGTAATTGACACTAATAAGCAGGCATAGCAGTGGCGCAGTGGCTCATTAGCTAGCACTGTTGCCTCACAGCAACATCCGGGGTTGGATTTTATCCAGATGCTCCAGCTTCTTCATTTAGTACAAACACATGTAGGACAGGTTAGCTCCAATTTGCCTCTTGGTTTTAAAGTGAATGTGTTTGGGTTTTGCTAGGGCTGACACCTAATAGTTATAAACAGTTCCCATCAAACTCCGTTCGGAAGCTGCGCCTTGTCTAAAGTATTGGGGTATTGTTTCAACACAGACCTTTGCTATTGTAAAACAGGTTTGTTTACACTACTGGCATAGGAGAATGAGCACCAGAACTGGAGCCGGGTGAGTGCACAACAGAACCGGGTCCACAGCATCCGAGAGTGACGGAGGCCAGGTGATGTACAGGGGCACCGTCCAGGACTCTGACATGGCAGGTTCAGGTAGGGACAGGAGAGTCACGACACGTGAGAGGTGTGAGTGAGCGGCAGGAAAAATACATATATTTAGATAATTCAATGAATATCATAAACATGTGACAATTAGTGAACAGATGGCTTTAACTAACAACTACAACTCTCTCAACTTTTTGCCAAGCTGTGTATGTAGATAAAGGACAAAAAATGTGTTAATGGTTCCCAGTTAGTCCCCATGTTAATCGGCTTAGAATGTACAGGACAGATTTGCAGCACAAAGAGAGAAAAGTGGACTCACCTTGACTTGATCTACCTGTTTGTGCAGTCACAAATGTAGGCTCCAATGCTGGGTGGGCAGCATCAACTTTTATAATATTATAGTATGTCAGTAAGTCATCAGAATAATCTCATCCTTCAAACCTGTATTGTAGAAGTTCCCCCTACTATATGCAGTATTCTTACAGGTTGACCCAAAAAAACTTTTCTAACAAAGTCACCCATAAGTTACTGTAATTTTCTACCATCTCAGTGTTTTTGTAGAATCGCTAACAGTACTACAGTTAGCACATGCCACATGCACAGCTGCACAACAGCGGGTGTTGTCCAAAGTAAAGAAAAATGATTATTATTTTTTAAAAGGCACGTCCTATTAATCTATTTTTGCTAATATACCTACACAGAGGAGGCAGTCTGTGTGTTTGCTTCGATGATGCTTGATGCTCAAACAAAAAGGTCAAAGGTGGGTGGACACTGTTTTTTTTATGTGAAGATGAAACCATACTATCATCTCTACCTTGTTGCTACAAATCTAAAAGATACACTGCAGAATTACTTCCTGGATGTATACACATCACACAGTAAAAAAAAGAGAAGAAGAAAGAAAATTATGAACCCTAACTCTTTTGCATTATGATAATTTCACGTCATCGCTTCTGTATAGTTACATATAGGCCTCTTATTTTTCTTTTTCATCTGCACGAGGGAGATAGGTTTTTGTATTAAGGATTTCTATACTGCCTTAAGTGATGCTGCCCACAGGCTCCTTGACCACCAGTGAACCACATGACTAGGATTAAACCAATAATGCTTTAAACTGCTTTGCATTATGCCATGAAAAGGGGCACTCAGCACGGATCAGGTAGCCTGTGTAAAAAAAGCCTTTATATATAGGTGAGTGAGGCACTCACAACAAAACAACAAATGTTTAGGAGTAAATATAATCAAATAATCTGAATTGACTTAAATACTGATAATAAACTCACATATACACACGTGTGTGGCAAGCAGTGGAAATGTTGATTTTAGTAAAAAAAATAAAAAAAAGAACAAAAAAAACACCATAGTTTCAAAGGATTATCTGAAGTTTACTTCCAACTTCACTAAACGTGGCGATCTGGCCCTGAGGACAGACTGTGTTGGCAGTGAGAAAAAGCCATCTGCTGCTGTTTAACCCTCCCATTAAAACACATGGAAGAGAAAACGTAGTGTGAATGTGGGAGCATGTTTATGTGTGTAGAAGAAAGAGAGAGGCAGACTCACAGACAACATAACAACCACCAACATCAGGTCGTTTGACTTTAAGTTTTACTCCCGTTCATAGATGAAGAAAATAACCTTTTTTAATGGAAACTTATTTCAATACTTCCTGAACCACTTTTACAGATTTCAAAACTATTTTAGCTTTTGCTAGAGCTTAAACATTTTAGCATCTCTTCGTATCAATTTTTTCCCCCACCTGGTATTTAAAGACCTTGAAACAGCAGCTCTTCCAGTTAATGATTGGCCACTGTGGGGAAAGTGTGCACTTACACTGTTGACTCTTATCGCTGCTCACCACAAAGCCACTGGAGCAGTATCTCTGAGGCTGACATTAATGGAGAGGACAGTGCTTGGTTTAAAGAGACAGGTCAATTTCTTTTTTGTCTGCTGTGGAAGAGATAGCAGGCATGCAGAGACGCTGTTCACACAAATGGGTCTATAATTGAGAGCAGATTGTGCAGTTTGCTTCTGTGGGTTTGCAGGCTACATTTATTGGCTAACAGAACAGAAGATTGAAAAAATCTGAAATCTGAATTAAATAAAGATTGCTGGAATATGTGCTTTTTTCCCTCATTGTTTTCCTTCATCTCCTGTCGCATCATAACACTATTTGATACAATTTGAACAGAGACCTACTTCAAAAGGAAATGGAACTCTAAAAACAGTAGTTCTTCTTGTGGGAGTGAGACATCCATACTTCTTTGGGTTTGGCCAGCAGAATCCCAATTTTACACAGATTAACATTTCTGCTCCTCTCTCTTCTGCTTGTCTAAAACATCACATTGCCTTCCCAAAGAGACTAGCCTCTGTACAGGCACATCAGCAGCTAGGGGCGAATCCCACCAGCTGTACTCTGGTGACAGCACACAGGTCGGCCTGTGGTTGATCAGGTAGCGGTTTAGATAGCTCTCCTCGAGGCCCCTGGCCATTACCCCGTTAGCCTGATCTTGCAGAATAAGCAAAGAACAGGCTCGAGCCAGTCTGTACATCTCAGAAACCAACCCACCGTACAACTCAGAGGTGTAGTAGTAGTCTCCTTCATCCTCCTGTACACAAGCTGATGAGACTTCTTCAACTTCGTAAGGAAATGCATTTCGTGGCATCCCGTAGAGCTCTGGGTGCAAAGTGGCCACCAGCTGTCCAAGGATCTCCTCTCCCACAGGGGCGACAAACTCTTGATCAATGTCAGCACAGAAGATGTATTCAACCTCACTGCCGATTGGGTTTCTGATGGCATCAGCAAGCAGGGTCATCCGGCGATAGGCTAACCTGTCCCACCCTGGTAGCTCTGCAATAGGAACCACCTTCAGCTCTCGATCAGGCCCGAGCTCGATGGGGGGATCCAAAGAACGGGGGTTGTCAGTGAGAATGTAGTAGGTGACCGTCTGACCAGGGAGAAAGTATGTCTCAGCTGATGAGAGGAAACGTCGGATGAACCTGGCATAAGTTCCCACAACGATGGTCAGCAGACCTGTATGGATTTCCCGTTGTGCAAATTTAGCCCTACGCCAAGCTGAGTTACGGGTTTCACCCCACACTAAAGGAGCACCCCATGGTGTCTCCAGGGGAGCCGCTGCCTTCACAACCGTTGTGTCTGTCATTACTCTTCCCTTGTCCATTCCCCAGGCATGAAAGATAGGATGAGGTGACTCCACACCGACAGTAGATTTCCGTCCATGGAGAAAGTCTGAGGGGGCAAAACATGTTTATACTTGTTATTTCAATACCAAACATCAAAATCAAAAGGTTTTTCTAAGTGAGAAATGGTAGACAGTGACACTTTCTGTGAAGTGGGCTACACACCTACACTTTTGTAAAGCTGGAGAAAAGTCCTCCTGTTCAAGCCAATTGATCACAACTGAACTTATTTAAACTACTTTTTAGCTTTTACAGTACATCTGTGTCTGGAATATTTATAAGAGATGCTGCATATTTATAATAATCTGTCACAATCAAGACAAAATGCAAAAAATAGAGTTTCATGAATGGGAGGGGATCTATTTAGCACAGAAATCAAACTGCAAGGTTCTATTTTGCATTTATAGTGCCACAAGTAATGTTTTCTATGTGTGTTTAGTGTCTTGGCACAACAGTAGTGTTTGTAGACGGAACAAATTCTTCTGTACACTTACATATGATAAGGGATAGGAGAAAACAGTACAGGACCAGCTGTATTCTTGTCACTCTGACTGGTCCTGTTTAAAGGACAAACACACAGATGTACATGCAATTAAATGACACCCAGTACAAGTTGATGCACTCTCTCAGCAAGCACATTGTACTTCTAATGTTCCTTTAAACTCTGACAGGTAAAAAGACCCAAGGTCATAGGAATGAAAAGAATGTGATGCTAAAGAAATATCTTCTTTTGGAGGTGTAGCAACCTCGGATTGCACAAGTAATCTTTAGAGCATTTGCAATACTTGTTTCATATACACTATATACTATATTTACTATACACTACAGCCTATGTAATGTCTATAGGCTGTTATAGGCACATAAGATATGACTTATCAAAATATTGTGTATGAAATGTGAATATATGCAGGACACTTTTATTTAAGTACTTTAATTAAGAAAAGTTTTTAAGATGCAGATTAATATTTTACCTTGACCAGATCTTGCAGAGAGTGACTATTACCATGAGATAATCAGGACATAAACTCCTGTTCTGATTTTGAGGAAGTTTAGTAAAAAAGACAAGATATCACACAAGAGATATATCAAATAAACAAGCAGTGTCAACTGAAATATACAGCATAGTATAACCATATAACCATGCCCTCGATAACTGTGCACGGGATGCTGAGCAAAGAGAAATGTATCAGGCTGGGATGATGGGTGTTAGAGATGTATGAAAAGAGATTGGTATTGACCCAAACGTTACACATGTTTGCGTGTGCTTCTATAAGTAGAAGCACACGTGAGGGAATGTATAGATGTTTATCTTCGTATTCTCCCTGTACATTACCCTGACGTGCATGCTGCCAATTTTTTTTAATGAGATTGCTCATAGAAAACCTCTGAGAAAAGCTTTTTAAAGCAGCATTTCAGCCTGTCTGGCTTAGTCCACATCTCCTTGTCTTTAAAAACAACTTAGCTTTAACTGAACACGTACAATGGTCACAAAATCAATATGACAAGTGAGGGGAAACAACCAGATAATGACACAAGGAAAAGAGGTGGAGCAGTGGCGGAGGTTGTACTGACCTGAGGGTATCTTGCAGAATGGGAACAGCGCCATACTTTGACCTGCTGGTGGATAAACACACAGACCTTTGTCTGAGGCCACTATTTTTACAAAAAAAAAAAAAAATAGTTCTTGCCTTTCTCTCGCTCTGTTTCTCTACTGGCTAACTGTGTTCTCTTTCTTGGGATATTGCTGTTTAACTCACTGGTTTCCGCCACATCTAATTATTTTTCTTCTCTCTCTTTCCTCGCTTTTATAATATTTTCCACTCCCTTTGCTTCCCCCCTCTCTTTCCGCAGGCTTTTGCAGTATTCTGTTTTGGAGAAAAACCAAAGGAACCAGATGTGTGGGGAATCTGGGTAAATGGGAGGAGCTGAGAAGTGGAGGATAAGACACAAACAAGCAAGGAAAAAAATTTAATTGTAAAATTACACAGGCAGTAAGGAGAGAAGTGGATCTAAGATTCTTTATTCCTACTCGTGTTGGAAGTATGGCGATAAAACGTTGGGTAGTTGCTCACTTTTGGGAGAACTTCAATATATGGTCATATGTCTCCTTGCAGAAAATGACAGTTTACACATCTCAAGTGTTTCATGATACTGTAGAGGAGAGTTGGTGGGAAGCAGACAGACATAATACCCTACTATAAACCAGGCTTAAGGTCACGTCAGCAGGGTGTAGTACTCTATCTGTCCACAATGTGTTGACATTCAACAGGAAATACTGCTATTATTTAATGCCAACATAAATAAAGACAGCATACTTAAAAAGAGGTTGTGATATGTATTATCAGGCTTTGATTCTATGCAAACATTGTTAACAAAAAGGATATTGTGGAATTATACAGTGTAAAAGATGTGTTCTTATGAAAAGACAAAAAAGCTCAAGTGTGAATCTGTGTGTGTCTTTTAGGACTGGGTGATATGACCAAATATTAAAAATCAAACTTTTTTTTTCAAAGCTTGGGGGACGAGTCACGATTTTAAATAATTATTTTCTTCACTAATGCTGCATAGAAGAGAAAAAATATGACTGGCAGCTCTTATAAAGCTGTTGAGCTAAATGCTTAACATCAGCATTGCTAACATGCTCACACTCAAAATGCAAGCATGCTGTTTTGCAGGAATAAATGTACTTTTGTTCACCATGTTAATTTTGCATGTTAGCATGCTAACATTTACTACTTCGGCTTAAACAGGCAGTACAGACGAGATGTAATAGTCTTGCAAGTATTTGGCCAAAGGGAAAGTTTTACCTGATGATGGCACTAAATGAAAAGTTAGATGATCACCAAAGTTAATCAATTCACACAAACAAAAATATCAACCCTAACAGTAGTTGATGTTATGTTGAGATATTAGATTTAAGTGGAGGACCAACCGACCGGTAGACAGACATTACATTAGGGCCGTGCTGCAAGCGTGGCTAAATATATGGGCTATAGAGGCTGTCAGCACCACTTGCTTCTATTAAGTAGAACCCAACCATCCAGTTTAAGCTTCATGACAGACAAGAGCTACTCACTCATCTGTACCCACTTGTGTTTTGTTTTTTGCACATTGTAATAACTTGAGTTTCACAATGTAGACATTTTACACATGCAAAAACTCAACTGAATCAAATTAATTAGATTTATTACCAAGCCCTATATTATCGGTGGTTACTGTTTGTTAGCCGCAGCTGATGTGAACCTGTAGATTCACTGTGTGCTGCCAGAGACTCAAACAGACTCAAGAGGTTGATTTGCAGTTTATTACGATAAATCTCATTACTTTTTTTTGTACATCCATACAGAAATTGCAACATAATATTGGTTTGTGTAAACAACTTTGGACTGAAGATTCAGTCAAAAACAAAAACATGAAGTAAACAGCACGGGCTACACTAAAGAATGATTAAATTACAGGGTGTATGTGAAGCATTGTTCCCAAACATCTTTTTTCCTGTCACCTTGTTGGCAGAGAAGCGGGGCAGGCAGTTCCAAGCTGGAGGATAGAGACTCTGCATAGGGGATTCATAACTATTCATGTAATAAACACTTACACTAGCGTCTGTAAATGAATCTACGCCATGTGGAGATGAATATGCACATTTATTACAGAATATATTAAGGCGTTCAAGATGAATGTGCTTGAAGGTTGCAGTACAGAGCCCCTATTCTCCAGAGTTTCTGGTCAGCTTCTGTAGTATGATAGGTCCATTAATACCAAATAAATAATACCAGAGAAGTAATATGGTTGCAATTATCTGTCCAGGATTCAAGGAACTGTTTGTAGTTGGCATATTGCAGATGATGAACAAACAACATGTTAGCCATTTGCACATTCACTGAAATACACAGAAGCTTTTTGACAGCAAAGATTTTGGCAGTGTTTATTTGTAGTTATGGTAACTACACTGACTTTGCAGTTACCGAGTGAACTATGCCACAAGAAAATAAACTGATCAAGGGTTTGATACTGTATATATTATTTCCATAAACTATGAGGATCCTTAGAAAAATATTTTATTTAATGCAGCATTGTACTTATACAAAATTAAACAAATTGCACAAGAAGATTTTTTTTTTCACTTTGAATGTGTCGCTACTCCAACTGAGAGTTCCCAGTGCTCCATCTGTCGTTCATTATTACCAGAGTAGAGGATGGTTATGTTTTCTTTTTTTAAATAGTGTACTGGTACAACTGTATTATCTCATCTGCATATTTTTATAATAAATAATCCTTTACGCTCTATATATTCTCTTAATACTTAGAAGAGTCCAGAATATAATTCTGCTACTCTCTTGAGCTTAGTTGACCCCCTGAGAATAAATCTTTTGTCAACAAAGTTCAAACATTTCAAATCGCTGATCAATTTAAAATTTTGCTTCATTTTGGAAATTATGCTGACTCTAATTTAATTACTTTATGTTTAGTTTTTTAAGGATCAGTTTGTCCTCTAAAGTGAATAAAGTATGTAGGTGTTCCATAATAGTGAAAAAGAATGTAGGGACTTTGTAAAATGGCAAAATTAGAAATAGAAACAGGATTTTTGAAAGTGAATATTTTAGCTGTCAAGTGTTTTCAAACCCATATTACAATCATTGTCTTTGTATAATATATAGATTATATATAGATACTTATACAAAACTTATATTCTAAAGGTGGCATGCTTGAGCAGGCAGTGAAGAGAAGAGAGACAAGGCCTTCCCCTCCTTTCTTATGATATCAATGCTTTCACTTTCACTACATGGAGATTCAGTTTGTAGCATAGAGGCTTTAAACAGGTCCATGTTTTTAATCCTGTGAGGGACATTTTGAAAGAATTAATTAATAAATGGTGATTGGCAAACAAAGGTAAATGGATCCGATTTGCAGCATTTTTGAGTGGAAGAATTCTCTTTCCTGTATTTCTTCTCTTCTCGTTCACTCTTCTTATCCCCAATACCCTCTCTCTGCTTTTTCTCTTCTCTTCGCCTTGTTCCTCTGCTCCCCAACCAACACATAACCTTGCTTTCCCGTTATCTTTTATCTTCTCCTCTCATTGCTTCTCCTCTTCCCTCCTCTCCTCTCCTCTCCTCTCCTCTCCTCTCCTCTCCTCCTGGAATTTAGTTGCGGCCATCATCTATCATCTCAAACAGGGCCTGCAGCAGTCGGTCATCTCTGTGCCTGTATGGCTTGGTGCTGTAGAAGCCATCAGTGTAGTCACTGTAGACATTGTCCTCGGTGCCCCTGTACTTGTTGATCATGTCCAGAGCCTGGTACAACATCTTTGGGGGGAGTCTCGTTGCAGGGGGAGAAATGCTCTGGCCCGGCTGCTGCTTCCTCCAGGTGGAGGAGGCTTTGACTTCGGACTGGGCCTGCTGCAGGGAAGGGGTCTGCCTGTTGAATGCCGTCTGGAGGAGACGCAGCAGGGCCAGGGAGGGGGAGTAGGGTGAATTTGACTTTTTGTGCTCTTTCTCTGGGTTGGAAGGAAGGGAGACTTTTGCAGTCTCAGTCTTTGAAGGTGGATAGGCCTGTGTGGGCTCCTGTGTCACCAGACAGACAGAGAGCAGAAACGTTATTGGTCAGACTAACCCACAGAGTCTGCATCTAAAGATAGACAAGATAACTGTGTTCTATTCTTCTTATTTTAGAGAGAAATGATACATCACCTGGCCTTACAGAGTTTTATAATATGTATTAAAGAAATAAATGCAGTCCTTAAGCAGCAATAGATCTGAAATTAAACAATGACTGTACTTTTGTACTGTGTTCATATTGTGATACAAAGTGCTACAGTTTCTACTGTGCACCAAATGTGTTGGAAATTAGAATTTAGCTTGAAACACTAGCTAGCATGACTATGGACTCTAAGTCTTAATATCAAGTGTATTTCAGTATCGCTACGTTCAGCCCTTAAAGGTCTAATTTGACATTACATCCATTCCTTTCCTCTATATCCAAACCAAGTGTTTTTTTGTCATTAAGCTTTATATTGTTTTGTACTCACATCCATCATGTCATCCATATGTTCCACACCACGGCGGTCATTCTGCACAGCGTTGTAGGGCGTGTACACTCTAGGTTTCTTCATGTGCTCTGGCTTCTCTGACGTTCCATGAAGAATCAGCTTCCAGCTCAGAATCCGACCCTCGTTCTCCATACGGCCTGACTGTCAGGGGAAATCATGTTGGTTAGATCTCAGGAAGAACCGACAAAGACTCAGCAATTATACAAACCAGCTGACACATTCGTTACAGTCATGTCTATTTGCACCACATATGACATATTCTTATATATATTTTTGCATACTTAAGTGTTCATAACTAATTTGTGTGTGTTATACTGTTATTCTTGCTTTTGCTACACATAGAAATTTGAGCTGAGAAAGGGTCCTCTGTTACCAAATATGTGTGTAACTCACAGTGTCTGTGATCTTTAGGGTCCATGTACCAGCAGGATCTTCTCCCCATGTATGGACAGACATGAAGTCCCAGTTTCTGAAGCCATTAGAGGACGTGTCCCTCTCTCGTTCAGCCAGCAGCACTGTACTGGTACCTTAGGGAGAATCCAAAGGGATCGATCAGTTGAGAACTTGATTATTTCACTCAAACATGTGTGTGTGTGTGTGTGTGTGTGTGTGTGTGTGTGTGCACGTCTCTAACCGGCTGGGGAGGTGAGTGTTATGTGCAGGTCCCCTCTTCTGGTGTACTCAATGCTGGCCTCCACCTGCACATGTTCCAATGAGCGGACTGCGTTCTCCTGCCCCGCACAGGCTTTGGTTGGAATCTCTATAGTGATCTCCCCTGCTGCCTTCAGCTCCCTGTGGAGTGAATTAAAATAGCAGGGAATGAGACACACAAACAGCTCTCCCTGTAGTTCCCTTCTCATTACCGTGCATTGGTCTGGGAAACAGCAGCAAGGTGGAGAAAAACATATTATTGCGGTGCCCACTGCATATATTACATTATAATGTGTGATAGTTTTATAGCAACCACAAATTTGGGAAATATTTAGCACATCACAAGCATAAATAAGACACAGAGACAGATTTGGATGCCTTTGGTCATTCATTTGCAAAAACAGTTAATCCCCATCTCTCCCAGACATGAATGAAAGGATTTCCGTGTTCAAGCTGGCATAAAGCTCAGGGGGTTGTAGACCACTAAGCATTGACGGAGATGTAGAGCCAAATCCTCGGGATTAGACAGGGACGTAGCAAGGTAATGGGGAAACTGGGTGTTGGTGCTATTGAGTCTCATAATCCAAAGCAAATCGCAGAATGGACACTTAAAGGAACACAGAACTCAGTTGACCTTCCCTGCTATCTACTGAAGAACAATGTGAGGCTAAAAGTTATTTCAAGGATTTTCATGGGTCATTAATCCGCAAAGCACACAAAACATCTGGTGAGACAACAGAAGGCGGGGAGATTCTTGGCTGTGAGTTTCTATCCATGCTTAGCAGCTTTTAGATTTTAATCCCACTGTTTAACAATTAGCATTTATCAACATGTTTAGAGTTAATCATTGACCTCAAATTTAAATGTGCTCAGCTGTCATCATTAAGAAAACTTTTTGAGATATTTTTTATTCATTTTAATGGCACAGAAAACCCTCCCAGGCTTAAGACTTGTTGCTATCCATGACTCCACTCAAAAAGTAACAGATGCATCTTCAATAGTGCACATAGTTTGCTTTGTAGGACTCAAAATGTCGTGTAGACTACACCAGGGAATTTTAACAGTTTTTTCACAAACTTAACCTTGTTAAAATAGCCAAATCTGCACACACTGTATTGCGATGTGTTCACAAACCTGGGCTGGAAAGAATCATCCCTGACGATACATTGCTTCTTTTCAGGCACATGCTTCCAGGTGGCTGGGTCGGCGAGGTCGACCAGGGCTTTCGCGTTGAGAAGGCCAAAGCCGAAACGGCTGTTGACCATCAGCCCTGCTCCGTTCCTCTTCCAGCCCGGGTTATTAGCCAAAGGATCAAACTCTGAGGTCCACACCACAATGTGCTGCAGGTCTCTCCAGGTAAGCTCTGGACTGAGGGAGGGAAATGAACAGGGAGGCAGACCTGTCAGTATTTACTGATATTGATATAGGAGTATCAAATTAAGTTAAATCCATTGTAATGCAAAGTATCACTTGCAAATTGTCAGTAACAAGTAATTTGCAGTGTTGCATACTTTTGTTCCAGTGCCAGGGCAAATATTCCAGCAGCCAGGGGGGCGGAGGCCGACGTTCCAGTGTGAGTCTGAGTGCACTCGTTGTGCAGATCAGCACTAGTCTGAAAACACGCAGGTAAAGTGTAACATGAAAAAGATGCATAGATTAAGATAACCTTACATGTCCCTTGAACAAAACTACTTGACATTACTTGACATGGCGTAACCTAACAGGTGTAGTTACTTACAATCCTCTGGTCGGTGTAGTCTCCGCTGCTGTATGCTGTAGCCAGAGTGGAGGAGCACTTCTCAGCGTACCACGGGGACAGGCCCTGCTGGGAGGCACTGCTGATTGAGATAGTGTAGATGCTGTCTGTGTAACCGTCACAGTCACAGTTATCGCCTTGGCGGCCACCATTGCCTGATGCCCAGACAAAGATAGAGCCTTTCCCACCGCGGCCCTGCAGAGGACAAGACGGAGAGAGAGTTGAAGACGGCAACAAATGCCAGATATGGTGTTGTATCAGATACTGATATTGCAAACCTACTACTACTGCCAAAATACTGTTATGGAAATTATTTTAAAGTGTTCTATAATTTTTTTTATGCTATTCGGTTACATTAACCAATGGCATTTTGTCATTAGAAGCTTTATTCCTAGCAGCCGCATACATTGTCATTATTGATTCTGTTCTATCGGATTCTCATCACTGCTTCAGCTAATAGCGCCCATTAGTCCCCTCAGTCTGAGATCACACCAGCTAAATGTGAGTAAAAACCGCCTGTCTTATTGTCTACCTTCTGGATGCCATATTCAAACGCCTTCTGGGCCAGGCGGCCAGGGCCCTCGACTGTCTTGCCGTCGTCGTTGGGTCCCCAGCTGGCACTGTAGATGTCCACATGGTTTGGATTGAATCCAATAGAGCTGGCCTCAATAGCATCAGTCACAATTCCATCCAGCATACGAATCCCTGAGCAGAGAGAGAGTGTTATAGGAGTGTTATAGCACAGTTACCTTTTCGGTTATTCATCACATACTGGTACTGAAATTCATGGATGTACCATTAATTTATCGAAAGGAAAGTTGAGATCAGACAATGCTCATTAACTCATTACAGTAAATTAAGAGAAAGTGTATTAAAAAACTTAAATTAAAGGTTATAAATATAATGGTTTTATTTTAGGGTGTGTAGCAAGATTTTTGATTCGTATTTTAAGATGCAGGTGCTTCTGGGACACTAAGAACCAGCTGGCCACCCTGGCCCTTCAGATGTTGCAGCTTTAAAATTGTCAGCCATTGTTTAGGTGGATTGGATCTCAGTAATTTTGGAGAGTGACGTTATGCAACCATCTGGTGTAAAAAAATCAGGTCTCCATCAGGAAATCTTGCTTCCCTACTGGCAATAAATAATAATAATAAAAGATGTGCAGGCATATTGTCTAAAGGCAGAACTTAGAACACAAAGCCTATGCTGTTTGTGTCCTGTTCTATTCGAGCCTATTTAGAAATGATGGCGCATAATTATTGTTTTATTATTTTTTACACTTAAACTGCAACAGAACTTTTAAATAACAATTTGACTCTCAGTCACAAAAACACAGTGTGCACACAGACACAGATGTAAATAACATTTAATGTGAAGCTCAAAAACACAAATCGATAATCACAAAGAAAAAGCTCTTACCTCCAACCTTGGAGTTGTACGCCACTCCAACACCACATTTATTGTTGTCTGCCTGCATAGCGATCTCCCCAGCACACCTGGTCCCATGTCTATTATCAAATTACATATTTAATACAATTTAATATACACTTAATATTTTAAGTGTGTTTTTCTCACTAATTCTGTATACGTTTTATATATTCATCAAATCAAAACTGTATGTGTGATTTTGTATACATTGTACAAATATATATATACATTTATACACAAATGTTCTTTCTCATGTGCTTATTTGGCAGCTTATTTGGAGTTTCACTGCATTGTGTTTCCCTAATGATTATTTTAAACTGATTGTCCTGCCTTTGTTACTTCGTAGGATGCAAAACGTTTTACAAAAGGCCACTATATTGCTTGATTACATAACTGCTCTCATAAAATGTTTAGAGCAAAAAATATTGATTGTGATGACAGGGCCATGGAGGTTCTCTGGTTGTGTGCCTCTGTGATTATTCATGTTGAAGAATAGGCTTTGAACTGTTCATTATATGCATAACAAAAAAGCACAGGGCTGTTGGTGGAGAGGAGTGTGTATGTGTGTGTGTGTGTGTGTGTGTGTGTGTGTGTGTGAGACAACTAGCAGAGGGTGAGTCATTAACTTCAGCTATGGTCTGAAACACTTGGAGAGGAGAAGCAGGAGAGGCAGTGAACTGAATCCACTGAAAGAACTGTTTTCCAATCCTTTCATTCAGCCAATTTGTGCCAACTTTATGCTCACTTACGAATACATTGGGAAGGATACTGCACCAAGCCCAAGCAACAAAATGGTTTAATGAAAAAAGGAAGGTGAGGTAATGTCAGAATCTCGCTCCTCAGCAGATAACTCACTTGTTTTCATTAGTGGAGTCGTATCTGGGGAAAGGGTCTGGGTCGTTGTCGTTGAAATCGTAGCTGGCTGCTGCATCCTTTAAAAACAACAGACAAAAAACTGTCAGGTATATCTTTGTATAAGCTGAGATGACGTTAGTGTGCATCAGTGACGAAGGCTTCAAACACAGTTTTGTCAGGGTCAATCTGCTGTTATGTAGACACATATGATAGGTGACAAGAGTAGACACATTAATGCCTGTCAACAGCTATCTTTTGAAACATTCAGATTGCTTGAAAATGTTTTTTTGCCTGAGGCTCGTGTCATAGTTGGACAAACAGCAGGGTTTAAATGCTGCACTGTGCGTGGTATGTCTGTCCTCTGTTTTTGTCTCTCCTATCATTCCTCTGCACTAGAAAATATAATAAAATGTACTTAGTAATAAGGTAAGTATGTTCTTATTAAACAGGAAATTCGTTATCCTAGAGACTCCTTTCAGTTTCAGCTTCACAGTAAGCCTTAATATCTGATTTAAATCAGATGCCTGACTGTCATTTTAGGATTACTGCTGTAGTTATACAAATGCACGCCGCTCATGTGCCTTGATTATTAAGGATGAGCATCTCGGTTGATTGAGCCTCTTTGATTAATCAGCGTTAACTTAATTACAGTGGGAGTTGTTTCTATCAGCCCTGTTGTCATACATTATTTCCTTCTCTCCCTCCCCCAACCCCTTTCTTTCTCTTTCGTTCTTTCTCACTGGCGAGGCAGTGGCGGCTGTCTTTCTGAGAACGACAGTACTGTTTGAAACCAAACCACAGATGGGGCTTTTTAAGGCATTTAGACTTCCTCTACACAGGAGAAAGTATGCCAAAATGAAACCTCCTTCGGCTCCCATTCAGCCATGTTTGCTCTCACCAGCTTGTAATTATCTGCATCCCCCTTCACACTGTCAAAACATTCTTGGAGGAAGTAGGAATACTTGCAAATTCTGCATCCCTGAATGCAAAGAGTAGAGTCATTCCAATTTGCATCCAGGAATTAAAAACCAAATAAGATCTCTGGAGGCAGACATTATCATATAGAAGATGTATTACTGTCTTCATGAATCGCCTCGTAAGGTGTCACCAGCAGCGTTGCTAGGGCAACGGCAGACCCAGACGACGGAGGCTGTCTCCATGGAAACGGTGTCTTACGTAGTTGGAGTAGATGTCTGTGTGGTTCCACTCCAGCCCGTCGTCCAGAACGGTAATGACCACTCCTTTTCCTGTGATGCCTTTCTGCCACACGGGGATCACATGCAGGTCCAGCTTCGGCAGCGAGGAAGAAGTTCGTGTGTCTTGCTGAAAAAACAAAATTACAAAATTACACATCTGTAATTCTAACAAAAGTGTGTGTAGATGATGATGTCCGAGCACTTCAACTAAACAGGCTCTTTAAGTATTATCATATATACTAATAAAGGTCAGCCAAAGTCTCCCAGCTTGCACTGACCTTTACAAAAATTCATTACTGGGTTGTTGGTTTTTCCTTTGTCAAAGCTTGAATCCACTCTTATGGCCACTTGTAGGCAGATTGCTGCCAGAGGGTCATAATGATACCGGCTTTGGTGTTATCCAATACAGCAACTCTACTGATTAATTTAACCCACAAGATGCCTCACGGTGCCTAGAGATGTGCTGTGCTTCAACCCACAGTTCTGGCTCGACTTACTTTCAATCCCCCTGTCGGATTATTGAGCAATCCGTCTCTAAAGCTATATAATATCACACAGCGAGTGAAGGGGGCGCCGAGCCTGTTTTAAATGGGAAATCAGCGGGGGAGTTGGGGAGAGTGAGCGGGGCCGATGCCTGCCTGCCTGGAGAAGAGTGTGATTCAGAGCTGGGAAACAGCTAAGACTAAAAAAAGATCTTACTTTGCTCTTTTGCTCTTTGCGCATTATGCACAGACACTGCAGACCGCCACCCTAAGATGTGAGTCATCCCTGTGATGTATCGCCTTTTTTCTCCCTCTCCTTGGCTCCCACTTTGATTCCCTGTTTTCACCCTATCCTCTCGCTTGCGTCTCTGTTTGTCTTTGGACATTGTCAGTCCCAGCCGACTGCAAATCTCAATGTAAATACACATCAGATGTTCCACTTTAACACAATGTGTTTCAGTAGCCATTTTGCTGGAGAGGACCAGCTTATATCTACAGTTTGCTTGTTTTGGTGTAACACCAAATGACTCACTTGTTGATGCTGGTAGCAGCTGAGGGGGCTCTCAGTTGCCTACTATGCATAGATTTGAATGATACACAGCATATACACACACACACACACCCAAACACACACACAGCAACAGCTTATGCAAGTCTGCACCGATCGCATATACAATGAGTGAGTGGACACACACACACACACACACACAGATCCCTTGATTAACACAGACTGACACTTGCACAGCCATGGATACCCTTTCTCTGTCTCCCCCCCCCTCCCCCCTCTCTCTCTTTCTCTCTCTCACACACACAGGCAGGAGGAATTTCAGGCTACAAGTATGAGTCACTCCCTGATTAAATTATCAGGCAGTCACCCACTCGTGATAGATAAAGACACTCATTCTGTTCTCGGGGCCCAGCTCTCTCCTCTGCCACCATTACATGGCTCAATCACCGGCCTCTGCCCCCGTCACACGGCTCCTCCCTCACTCTTATGTCGGTGATCATTAGGGCTGCCAACGTCACTGTCCTCTAACCTCTACCCCCGTCCCTCATTATCATACGTGTGGTAACAAAACGGGACAAAAGATAATGTCACCACAGAAGAGTGACTGAGGTATAAAGATTACACCTGACAGCTTTTTTTCTTTCCAGTGTTTTACCTATTTCTACATAGCTTTGTCCTCATTGTACAGTCATGAAGAATGAATCATTATGCTCTAGATGAACGATAAAGTATCCTGTGGAGTGACACAGACCTGGGCTGATGTGGAAATACACTAAGCGGCACTTTAAGGCCAATTCCATTAGTGTCATCATCCCTCATCGGCAAAAATGATTCATCTCAATTTTTTTTCTTATTCCCCACAAGCGTGTGACTCATGTTCGATTAGTGCAGGTGCGGAGAAGTGGAAGCTGAATCTCCCTCTCTCTTTCCCAAATGCACTCGCACAAGCAGTGATGCAACACACATTAACATACACATCCTCAGGAACAAAACATTTGATGGTGACGAGCTAAAGATGATTCACTGACTTTGCCTCGCTGAATGTGATCAGTTTAATGATCAATCCGGCTGACCTAATTAACCCATTAATCCCGGTGACGTGGATTGATATATAATAGCAGAGATCATGTAATTTTGCTGCAGCTTAAAACAGATTGTAGTGAATAGGTTGTGATCTCTTTCTCAGGCTTCATAAATCGTCTTTAATTCTTTTTTTCTTGATATTTTATTCTCAGATTTTGTAATGTGAGTTTTGCATTGAGGCTTTTTTTTGTTTTAATGCGCTTGATTTAATATTTAATTTAGATTAATGGTTGTATTGATTGTTACATGTTGGTAGATATATGCCATTATCAATCAATAGCATTTTTTCTGATAATTGATTAATTGTTCAACTCATTTTTTAAGCAGCTTTTTTCCATTTTACGTCACTGTAAATTAGATATCTTTGGGTTTTGGACCAAGAAGAAATCAGACTATACTAAATTTTTTGACCATATGATTCGTCAATTCATTGAAATAATAATCTTTAGATTAATGAATAATGAAAATAATTGTTAGTTGCAATTGTGGTTTGATTTTGTACAATAAAGAAAACTGAGCAGCATCCAAAATAGTCCCTCCCTTTTGCTCCAAATGCATTCAACCACTTTTATATCTACTGTAGCATGTATGTGCTGTGGACAGCGGGGCAGTCGGCAAGTTCACTCTAAGCTTATGGATGGATCAAAGTCAGTAAAGATGTCATTCAAAGTGGTGATGTCAGGGTCAGGATAAAGTGAATGTGTTAGTAATGGATCTAGAAGAGGATGCACAGCTGTGACAAGCTACTGTTGTCTGTTACTACTTAGCCTCAGTGGGCTAAAACATCCCATTCAGGGTAAATTGGGACTTAATGCATGGTGCTCTAACTCTACTCCATCCTGCTGGATTATAGTCTCTCCAGCCCTCTCATCTCCACACACTCTTTGTTACCAATTAAGCAAATGGCTCTTTTGGCTAGAACTGCTTGATAGCATGTTATTGTTTCATTGTTTTCATGCCCCCCCCCCCTCCTCTTTTTTGAAAAAGTAGTAAGCTCCACACATACATGTGTATCAAACTTACGACACAGTCTGTGTTTATGAAAATGTGCAACCACACACAACACAGCACACACACACACACACGTATGCTACACACACATTCATTGGCCTCCTGCTAGAGGCATGAGCTGCCTACGTGGACCTATACTGTCAATGGTCAGGACAGAGCAGTGATCAGTGTGGAGCTGTCCAGCACTTGTGGGGCTTTCCCAGAGTCTCAGGGGAGGACAGACCAGCTGCATGCAAACAGAAGGCTCAGCCAGACACAAAGTACATGACATATTGGATATCAACCTAAATCTGTGGTTTATGGAGCTCAGAAAGCACACGGTGTTCAAATATTTTCCAAAATGTGCACGCCAGCTTTAAATCAGCAATAAATAGATTCATTATTGACCCACTTGTTAAATTTCTCATGTACTTGCTCAACCAATGCTGAGGCAGCATTCAAGCATTACTGAAGACTCACCAGGTACCACTGCTGGTTCCACATGGGATCATCAAACAGCTTATCCACTGGACAGTCCCTGCACTCCCCGAGGGACGCTCGCTTGTTGCGACGTTTCTCGTACTGCTGCTCTGCCCACAACACCTGCACACACCAACAACAAGTGGAGACATTTGGTTTCTTGAGTCTTTCAAATGAGACAAGATTATTGTGCGCAGGGCAGGACAGGCTAAAAGTGTCCACTCACCCGATCATCCTCCGACAGCCGTCTGGTGATACGGTCGGCACTTCGTTTCATTCTGCTAGGATGATTGCGGTGTTTGAACAAGAAATGGTCTTCCAGGGCCCCAATCTGCAGAGAGGAAGACAAGAGACTGAATATTTCACAGGAAATGACATAATTTCAACCATCTGGTCACTAAAGCCTGTTTTGCATGTCTAGAAACATTATTATCTCTCATGTGTGCTCATTCAGGCAGTAAACTTCACCACAGGGTTATATCTCAATCTCTGCCCTTTATTTGATCTGTTATAAAGTGTGTGGTGTTTTTTAATGAAGCGGATGGTAAACTACATAGTTGGAAATCAGATAATTATCAGACACAGTCTTTACAGTTTTTATTTCCATGAACTAAAAAGCTAATGTCATTAGGGGAGTAAGAAAATATGGAAAAAACACTTGAGATATTGTATCGTTTTTTTGTGTTAAAACCTGCAACCGCTAGATAGCAGTGTTTTAAACATAAACCGGGGGCTATAATGTTGGATGTTACAAGGGCTGTAATAAACACAAATGCAGATTCCACTGCTTGTATAAAAGGGTAAACTTTTTTTAAACTCAGATTTCATGCATATGGTGGTGTCTTCTTTATACTATGACAGTTTTCCCAAAATTAGATTTAAAATCACAATATATCGACTGTATCATGATAAGTTGTGTATCACCAAAGTCTTGGCAATAAACAGCCCTAGATTACATGTGTGTGCTTTTCTGTGGATGCATTACATGCATCTTTAGGGAAAGCTAATATCCACATTGATGCCACAATTCCCATTACACTGTTGAACAATGCAAAGTATAAGATTTTTGATGACATCTAGCTATTGTTCTCTTGTTCTTTAGAGGCTTGATGCTTTGATTGTGAATCACTCTGAACATTAGTGTCTTCTAAATGAATGTCATCTAATATAAAATCTGATTTTGAGTGATGAAGATGATACTCTGATGATATGATGTATCTCAGTATCCATGACACCTGAAAGCTCAGTTAATCAATGATCTGCTGCTATTCAGAGCTACACAGATACAAATTAATGAAGTGTCCAGCCTGGACTCTAATGTGTTTGTATAGGAGAAGGCAGCATCAGTCAGTCTAAAATGCTGGGAAAAAACAGAGATGTACAGTACTGGGAAATGAAAACCGAGTCATCAAAGGTGTGTAAACAGTGAGTCATAGATGAATTAACCCCCCACTCCTTTAGGTGCTGAAAATACAATGTGTGCTTTTGGGCTATCATAAAAGCAACGAGTTTCTCAGTCTAATGGCCTTATCAAGCAAATAATAATTGATACAGCTATTGCCTCCTTTTCTATTACAACACAGCCCACAGCTGATATTGCAGGCTGCAGGCTTCATTAACATTTCATGATTTCATTTTTGCTTTTATGGCTGCTGCTAAATTAGTAGTCTTACATTAATATTAGACTTTAACAGCATCATTAAGGCCCCAGTTTGCTTGAATATCACGCCCAATAAACAATAGGTCAACTCATTAAAAAGCTGCCTTTTATGATCATTTTAAGGTTCTTTTCCTTCTTCAGCTCGCTTGAAACCGCTGCGGGGCGTTGGTGCCTACCTGCCGAACCAGCTGGTAGTCCAGCTCTTTGGCGATCAACTCTGCAGCGGCCAGTCCGCCTGGGATCTCCACTGCCCACTCGTTCAGGTACTGTCGGTCCCTGTATGAGGACGCCAGAGACTGGGGAACCACGGAGCAGAGGATGGCAAAAACACAGGACATCACCGCTGGACGACATCTCATTTCCATCTCAGAGGAAATTCAACCAGATGAGAAAAATCTAATAATGTACAAACAGCTGAGATGCTCGAAAGAAAAGCAGCCAGAAGTCCGAGATGTAAACGTTTAGTGTGGCGATAATAAAGAGATCTCCCTGCTCTCTGTTTATTCCTTAAGAAACAGCTGGCTGAGGTGGAGGGAGCGTAAAACTGCGCGTTATTGGTCCGCCAAGGAGAGGAAATACTGCTGATAGGGAGTGCTGGTCCGTGTGTTGCGTGTGTGGTCGCGATGGAGGGGTGGGAGGGGGGGTGCTCTGACGTCAGTTTGGCGTCTACCTTCGGTAAGATGTGAGTTCGAGTCCCTGGGGGGAGAAAGTCTGAACGCGAGGAGGAGGGTGGGAGATCCGACTAAAAATATCCCGCTGCTTGTCCCTGGAGGAGGAGGAGGAGGAGGAGTCACGAGGAAGAAACACAACAATAAAATATGTCCTATGTGATCCTATAACAGAGCTTACTTATAGATGTTTATCATTATTATGAATCACTGCAGCCTCCGTCCACTGTTAATCTGCGACAGACAATCCGACGCCTGACTGCTCTTCTCCTGTTTTGTGCTAAAGCTTATCGAGAAACCGGTGTCAATCAATAACACACACACACACACAACACACACCACAACCCACAACACACACTCCTGTGGTTCACGTCACCAGGAAGGAAGGAGGGAAGAGAGAGAGAGAGAGAGAGGAGAGAGAGAGAGAGAGGATGTTTAGGCACCGCGGACAGCTCCTCGTTCACACCGCAGATTCTCATCAGGAGATGAGATGAAACCAAACACTGCAGTGATGGGAAAGAAAATGGGTCACTCTCCAGCAGCCGAGGAGACTGTTACAACAAATACAGGGTAAAAACAATGTTATATCACAGACAAGCAGTGCCACAGTGCAAAAAAATCCAAAATGCATTAAAAATGTAAAACGATCAGTTAAATATACTCAAAGTATCAAAAGTAAAATATCTTATTATGCAGTAGAATGACTTCTGTCAGTGTTACCTTAACATATAACATATAATACATTATTGTAGCATTATCACTGATGCATTACATGTAAGTTGCGTCTTTTAATAATAATAATGCATCATATTTTATAAACTGATCTTTTTTTTAAAGAAAAATAATCATCTATGAAGTGACTAATAACTATAGCTGATAATAAACTGGAACTACTCAAGTCAAATACAAATACAGTTCCTTAAAAGTAAAATCCTTTGTAGAAAACGATTTCCAGTTTCATTTCCCTTTTCTCAATAATACAGTGCTTTTTAATCTTTGTGATCATTACTGTAACGTTGCCGGTGTTCATACTAGTGCTAGCACTGAGACATTGTGTGCATATAGAACTGAAAATGTTATTAGTTATTTGATTTTATCACAGAAAGGATATACACATAAAAACACAAATAATAAAACTCTATCATGTGACTTTATTTGAAATAGAAGAGTTATGAGAGTCGACTCAAATACACGCATGGAGGCAAGTATGATAAGTTGTACGTTGATTCAGAAATCTCTGAAAAGGTTCAGGTGGTTAAAAGCAATTTTGCAGGTTTTGGCTGACTCGAAACTAAACAAATTTTTTGGACTTAATAATTTAAGATTTGGAAATTACACTACAAATTTACAAAAGGCGTATGATGGATAAATATGCAGTGTTGCAAAAAAATATAAATATGGCAAATTGAAGACAAAAATACCCATATGTCACACATTCTTTCAATTTTGAATGCAAGATGCAGTCCTTCAAATATCTATACTGTATGTGAGATAGGAGTGATTCAAGCATTAAAGGGGGGAATCATGGTGCTTTTGGTGTCCAGAGCGAATACTGCTGCATACAACTGGTGTTTAGAATGAATAAAAAAAAACCTCAATACGGACTAAAACATGTTGGAGGTAACCATATCTCCAATGACATTTAGTTAATGATGAAATTAGAAATGTATTTTCTTATTATGTTCCATGGATTATATTTAAGATATTATATCAAAACAGCTCGAAAAGACTGAAAATACTGTACTGTACTAAAAAAAAATCTGTATTTAAAATACTATGTTTTTTCAATGTAAAATATAGAAAATAGAATATCCTGCTGTTAAAATTTCATCCTATATCAAACAGTGTTTATAGGCAGTTGTTTTTATGACAATTATACTGCCAGCATCAGATGCTGTTTGAGTTGTTTACTGATGGAAACAATGGGTCAGCGTGCTCTCAATTCATGGATGTACAACGCTCCAGAGATAAAGCTGTTGTAAGAGTCTATGTTATTTCTGTCTCTCGGCTGGAGGTTGTGTAGGTGCAGTTCATGTCAGACAAACTGTACAAATAAATCACAAACGCGACAATAAGAGCACTGTTACACAATAGGACTCTCCAGTTAAATTCACATGTACAATATTTGTATAAAAATAGAATGAGCCTGTTAGTCATTGTGAGTTAAACTTGTCAGAACTAATAATGACTGATACGTTCGGTCATCTGGCCGTGTGCAAACAGGTCTGCACCAGATCTGCGGTGTAATCCACGTTTACCTAGCAACAACTGTTTGCTTTGAGTAACGTACGCATTCAGGCGCACAGAAACACACAGCTGAAGAGCCACAGAAATATTAGCAAGATAGGCAATCACTGGTTTCATCACTGAGCAGCCCATCCTTGTCTTTATTTTTACTGATTCTCTTCATCTTCTGTCTTTACTGTGTGGGTGTGTATTTCACTACAGAGACCTGATAGCTCTTCCTTATTCCACTGAGAACACACACACACACACACACACACACACACACACATCAACGCACATTTTCGTCAAATGAGGTCAGAGGTCTAAACCTGTTTCATCAGCTAATTATTTTTCCAGCTCAAGAGACATGCGGGCGGGGAAGGAAAGTCTCAGCTTTTAGCCGGAGGATGACGCAGATAAGGCTGCACTGACTGAAGCCACCTCAACAGACAGTAATTCAACCAAAATCAATTAGGTGTGGCAAATGGATGTAAAGACTTCAACTGCACTTCCACACTGATCTCACAATACATTTATGCTTCAGTAACAATTACAGTATTTTCTAGCTGTTTACTGATGTTGCCTAATTTTGTACATCTATTCTATATACATCCATCTGCAAATTCCAATTCAATTTCAGGTAAAGAAAATACATCATTTTAAAATGGTTTAATAATAGAATTATATTAAAAAGTAGACAAATCTGAAGTCTATCATGCAGCAGCATAGTGTAATCTAACATGATCATTGTGTAGTAAAAGAGACGCATTATACCAGTGAATGGGGTTGATATACTCCCATGTCATTCACCAAACCTGTGAAATCAGCTGCCTATGACACTCAACAAGGACACACGGTTGCCATGCCAACCCCTCATCTTGCCATCGTCATTGTCACTGCGGCCATCGGAGAGCAACTGTGTGAGAAATCTTCACAATATTTGTAAAGAAAAACAAGATTCACTATAGAATAACATCTGCAGAACGCTGAATGGTCTCACTGTACATTTCTTTCATCATATTCTGATTGGTGCTGGAATATTACTCATATTAGCAGCATTTGTATAGTGAGTTATTAAACAAACAATTCACAGCTGTAAACTGAAGGTAGTCACACAGAATATATATCTGACATTATTAAAGAGAGTGGAAAAGTGTTTCATATTTTAAAGTCATTTAATGGAAGGGTGAAATCTAGATTCAAAAGGGTCAACAAAAGCAATGTGCACTAAGCAAATAAAGTAAAAATAGGCCTGACTAGAATAGTCACGAAAACCAGATACAACATTATAAACCAGTGTGTAAAACAAGAACACAGACAGGGTCACATTACACATTACATACAACAGTGATGTGCACAAGGAAAGACCCCCC